GTATATAAGTTTTCAAAATCATAGCAGTTAATGTTTTGGATGTTAATGGTATGAATGGTATTAATGACAGGAGTGTTATTATGAATGATCCAGCAATAGTTTATAATTAGTGTTACAATCATTGAAAATAAATTTACAGATTTTATTAAGTTGAATTGAAAAATAATAGTCTATATTTTTTCTTGTAATTATTAGTTCCATTAGCTATAAATCTAAATTTTAATGGTGTTTTATGGAATTTGGGAATCGCATAAAGCATAAAAAGATTAGTAAATCTGTTGTAGTTTGCATTGAAAGTAATATTGAGTTTCTTATGAAAAGTTTTAATCCTGTTTATTATAGATGTTTCTGTAAGGTTGGCTGATTGATAAGTAGTTGCGTTGAGAAGTTCTTTATGAATAATCACAGTGTAGAATTGTTTTCATATAATGCTAAAGTTATTAGTTGCTTTATCTATTTTTGTAATAGTAAAAAGCTGTTTTAATTTACTAATATCTGATGTAAGTTGCGACCAGTTCAGTGTACTTTTAAATTTGAGGTGACTGATTTCTGTGGATATGCGTTGAAGAAAGAATTTTAGCTTTCCATTTTAAGAAGGTATCTATGGGAAAATTCAGTTGATAGCTTGCTTTAACTATAAATTCGTTGATGTGTGTTTTCGAAAGTCTTGTAAACAGTAATTTGTAGTCATGTTTCTGACTGGTCTAAATTTTGTACCATAACTCATTAGTGTTTTTAGTTGATGGTTTTGTATGATATTCAGGTTGCCAGTAATTATGTGCTGGTGATGAGAATCTACGTAATTGCTGTAAATTGGTGTCTTACAATGTCATTCTGCAGTTTCATCTATTTCATGCATTATTTATCTTTTTTATAATCTTCTATGTTTATTTCAACTTTACTTTGATTTCGATTTCATAATGACATTTTCCAATGTTTAATTTCTACAAATAATATAGTACTCAAATACATAAAGATGATAGTGTCGGGGACGGTTACTCGAGTTTCACAGGATTTCTCTACAGTAATTGATTTTTACTCCAAATTGAATTGACTAAAATGCTTCATGAGAATAAGTTCTTTGAGTAGCAACTATTCGCGGAAAATATTTGGCCTGACTAGAATTGCCGGTTTGGCTTTAACTTATAACTCGAGTAAAGACGAAACACTTTCATATTTATGTATTTTTATCAATTATTGTTCATTGAACGGGAGTTGGTTTGTTCCCCTTGAAAAGTCAACTAATTTTCCGATCAATGACAATAATTACATGTTTTAATTTTTTTCCTTTTACAATTGTAATATTTGTTCTTCGTGATGATTTAACTCCAGTCCCCGTTAAAACATTATTAACAATTTTGCTTTCAAGTTACTTCTCAAAACATCTTTCAAAATATAACTTACCAGTATGGATTCACACTTTTAAAATAATTCTACTTTAAATAAACTTAGGAGACAATATAATCAATTAATCAATACTGTTTAGGAAATAAATTATATATATATATATATATATATATATATATATATATATATTTGCACAAAAGATTGAATTGTACATTTAAAGGAAATTATTGTGGCTAATCGAATTTATTTATTTTTGCTGTTGATGCTATTGAAAAGTTGATAAATTTAAATGTAAAATTCACAGTTTTGTATCCAGTACTGCAATAAATATGGCAAAAATGAGAAAAGAATTAGAAAATTTCCAGCTTATACCTAGTGGTTATTCAGCACATATATATTTGATTTAAAAGTCAGAGATTTTATTATATCACATGTTATAGAATCTGTTATTAAAAAAAAAAAAAAAAACCTTTTTGAAATTATTAACTTCCCAAGCCAGATTTAATGAATACAATGTACCTGGTATAAATATATCAACTGAAGTACAGTGAAACCTTGGTTAATGAACTTAATTTGTTCTAAAGCTAGTTTGTCATGTAGAATATTTTTAACCTGAAACAATTTCCTCCACATGGACTAATGTAAAAGAATTAATTTATTCCTAGAAACCAAATGATTGCTTAGAAAAAAAGTAATTTGTATGTAAATTCATAATGCCAAACCAATGAAATTCATAAAATCTAACACGTACACAATATTTACATACAGTATGCAATATTTAACACAATACTAAATGTATAAAAAATAGGAAACTGGTTTTGCTAATTATGGCAAAGCACACTAGGGCTAACTGATTAAGGGGAGGGATGCCTTTGTGGAGTAAATTTTGAAGGGAAACAGGCAGATATACATGTTACATAACGGGAAAAACCACGAAAATGCACATGCAGCAAGCCCATTTCTCTGGATTCGAGCCCAGGTCGGAATTACCAGTATTCAGCAATTTTACTTATTGCACTTCTCAGCTGCTCTGTACCCCCACTAAAAGGGGAATTTGAATCAAATTGTACCATATCTCTATAAAGGAAAGTTGATGTCATAGGTGGAAAAAGATGAAGAAGCCAAAGGTACAAAATGTTATTGTTTCAAAAGGAAATCCTGTTCCATAAAAATATCAGGTAGCTGCTATCTTTCCGGGTATTTTCTCCCTTTTCTTATGACACTGCTCACCTCTACTTAAAAATTAATGAGCCCTTTATCCACTTTATCCTACTAAAAATTCGTCCACTGTGAATTTTTTTCCTCTACATGTTTTAAAATATTCTCATTGCAAATACTTATGCTACGGCTTACTACTGCTTTATCAGGGTAATAATGTTCTTACTCCATTTTACACAAATTTCAAAGATAAAAAAACTAGGAACATAATCTTTTCAATTTTCTTCTGAAGACAATTCCTCCATTGCACTAACTGCATTCTGGAATACCATTTGTTGCCAATTTACCGGCTTACTTGTTTTTAAGACACTGTTTGTCATCCAAGATATTTTTCCCTTTAGAAAATTTGCTCAAGGTTCCACAGTATGATGGAACTCAAAATGAGAGTCCCTTGAAAACTACATTAAGAACTTACTAGTTTTCAAGAAAACTGTGGAAGAGAATCAAGATGCAATAGAAAAGTATATTCAACCAAAAGTTCTTTATATGGCATTGAAACAAAGTGTGAACCTTTTACTTTGTTTCAAGCCAGTTTCAGTCACTTTGGATGCAATCCAGAAGAGTAATTACAGCATTCTTAGAGATCTTGAAAATAGTGTAAAAAATCTTGAAAAAGCAAGCTGGCTGTTTAAAACACAATATGAACAATCAGCATATATTTTAGCATATATTTTATAACTAAACTATAAAGTCTTACTAGTAAGTGAAAACGAACATGTACTAGAATCAGTAAAAGAAACATATGCAACCATTTTCAGCAAGATAAACATATGCATATTTCAAGATGTGTATGTATGTATATATATATAAATATGGCCTTGCCAGTCACTGAGTTAAAAATAAGAATAATACGAAACAGAAATGCAATTTGTTGATATAAAGTGCGTCTCAAAAAGAACGCTGGATTTGAAAAGCCCGTTATTTTTATTTGTTGTTGCTGGCAACATTGTTTTTGCATGTTTTGTTATCACTGATCATTAAGGTTATGTTTTGATACTGAGCTTTTGTTTTCCAGGTTAATGTTTGTAGTGTATAGTCATGGAAAGATACCGTATGGAACAGCAAATGTTGATTGTGAAAACTCACTACAAAAATGGTGAAAGTTTCGCGGAAACCTTTCAAAAACTCCGTATGATTATGGAACACAACAATGCACCAATGAATTCACTGTTTGTAGGTTTATCAGGAAATTTGAAAAAAAAAAAAAAAAAAAAAAAATTCAACAGTAGCTATCAAAAGCTCAGGACGCCCTCAAAGTGGCCGGAGTGAGGCAAATGTTGCATATGGGAATCAGAGAATCCAAGAGTAATTCACGAAAAAGACATGCATCTTCAACGAGTTAGTGTGCAATTTGGAGTGGGGGTTTAATCAGTCCTTAATTTTTTGAAGATGACGAAGGAAGGGCTGTCACAGTGAATGGAGTTCGTTATCATGCGATGCTCACTAATTTCCTTTGGCCCTGGTTGGATCAAATAAACATCGAAAATTTCTGGTTCCAACAAGACTATGCAACTTGCCACACTTCAGGAGACACAACTGCTCTGCTACATGAGAAGTTCCCAGACAGACTAATCTTGTTATGAGGAGACCAAACCTATCCACCTTGATCTTGTGACCTGACACCTTGTGACTTTTTCCTATGGGGGTACACTAAGTCACAAGTTTACAAAAACAAACCCTGTAATCTGTTGGAACTCAAACAAGAAAGTCAACGGGTTCTCAATGAAGTTGATGGGGAAATGTGTGAGCGAGTGATTGTTAATTTTATGGATAGAACGATTGCTTGTAGGGCTACTGGGGGGTGGGGGTCTTATGCCCGATATTGTGTTTCTCGTATAATCTCAACATCTTTTGAAGAGAATGGTGTGTTTTGCTTGTTTTTTTTTTCAAATAAATAAATTTGATTTATAGTAGATTCAAATCCGGCATTCTTTTTGAGACACCCTATAGTACATAATACGTTCTAGTCTGACAGCAAAGTTAGATATTTTAGGTCACATAATAAACATTTGATGGTCTCAGTTGGATTATGGAGAAGTGGTCTTAGCAAATAATATTAACAATCCAATGTTTATATGTTCTAAAAAATACTGGTTTAGTCTCAGATACATTATGTTAGGAGCCTAAAAGGGCTCACTGTACAGAAACTTGAGTTGAAGTAGATATAAACTTAAATTTCTATTTCAGTATAAAAACCATAATCTAAATAGAATATTTTTAACAATAATAAACTAATATTCATATGTACATATTGTAATATATAAAACTATTAAAAAATTGTCAATAAAAGAATATCAAAACAGCATTTGTGATTATTCACATCATAAAATAATTATCTTCCAGTAAGTTCACATGTGCTGTGTACAAAAGCCTCATATTCAGGTCTTACAATTATTTAAAAAAATATTCAGCATAAAAATAACAGTATTACATACCAGCCCATTCTAATAAAGGTTCTGGTCCACCAGGATGCTAAAAATAAAATTTTTACTTTAATATTTAATAGAAGAATTCACGAGGCATAAAATAAAATAAATCAATAAATTATAAAATAAAAAATGACTTTACAATTAAAGAAGTGCTAACACAGGAATGGGCAAACATTTTCAGTTGCAGGCCAAAAATCGAAAACAAAAAGTTTGGCGGGCCAAGATAAATTTTTCTAAAATTTTAAAAACAATATACAAGTATTGCAATTTAAATATGTTAATGAGATACATGAAATTGCAATTTCATTTTTAAAAGTTCCTTATATCGAGTTTTGAAGTGAGATGCACAGATTCTAAGGAACGAGGATAAATGCTCATCTGTCAGTCTACTTCTGAAATAATTCTTTCTGCGTTTCATAATTGAAGACATAAGATGAAACAAGCATAGCACTGATTTTCTAGGCATGAGATATTAAATTTGGGAAGCTTACTTTCAATAATGATTTACAAAACTCTAACTTTGGCACATTTAGAAAAAACTGCTTGAGATGATTGTTAGATTGCAACTCAATTAATTCAAGCTGCAAATCTGACCTCACTGCGTCACAGTTTACGTTGAAAGGCATGGTAAAAATATACAGTTCTGTTTGAATCTCACAGAAAACTTGAAATCGTTCAAACTCAAAGTGCAGTTTTCTCAAACAATCTTCATAATTCTTTAGCTGGTCATCATTTACTGAGTGCATTAAATTTAACCTCAGAAAATGAGACAAGCTGTTCTTAGCTAGCTGCCACAGAAACAGATTAAATTTTGTTATTAAATTAATTAAAATTTTTTCTAAGAGGTCTAATTCACCTATATTGAATTCCCATATGTCTGCTCCTCGAGAGAGAGATAATGCTTGTTGGTGCCAATCTACAGCTATAACTAACAAAGAACTTCCACTTTTAACACCCTACCAATTAAAAGCTGTCTGTGCTTGCTATTTCCATCAATTTATGCTCTGTAAAACAAAAACAGAGAAAGTAAAAAGATCATCAGCCCTTTGGGGAAAAAAAAAGGGGGGGGGGAAGAAAAAAAATAATATTTAAAAAAAGTAGAAAAGGAGATGGTATATAATATATAAATACATATTTCTTTTTTATTTGCCTTGGATCGGCAAACTAAAATTCTTTGCTCATCCCTGGCGTAACAGAACATTATTTTCCAGTAAAGCATTTCCCACCCAAACTACAATATAAAGTATTAAATTCACTTGGAGAAAAACTATAATAGTATTAAAATAGGATTTTAATTCAGTATTTGATATTTTTACTAATTAAAATGGGTACTTTTACATTACATTAGCCACCATGAAATATAATCACTACAGTTGATCATAACTAAAAACAATTTCACTTAACCCTATATGCATCTACATACTAAAAATCAGTAATGCCAGGTTATGAGAAAGAATAGGACATCTCATAAGGGACCAGGACAACTAAAGGGAACCCAAGCTTTAAACATTGTCTCATTTACTAACTACAAAATTATATGAAAAGAGAAGCAACTGTATTAAAAGACCTGTCACTCATAACCACTCAGAATAATTACGTTCTAGATTTGCAAGCATGATACCACAATTCAATCATGGAACTTCATTTTCAGACTTTGCAGCTTCAACGAGAAGAGAAATATTTCCATACTTATTTTTACAGATGGCTACATATAGAGAATATGCCAAAAGACCAGTTGCTTGAGTCTCATTCACACTCTCACACAGAATGACTGGTTTAGAAATTACCTGAAACTAGACTCCACAAAAGTACACTCGCTATGTACAAATCACGGTGCAGTTTACAGATTCCTAATGTTTACTAGTCTGCAAAATTTATGGGCCTCACTATCACACAAATATCATCCACAGAGGCAATAACTTCATAACTTTGACAGAGATTAATACAGATTTTCTTGTGATACTATGACTATATGATATAAACTGCACATTCTTATTAAACATGTTCATACATTTCTAGCAGCCATGCACCTGCATACCAATCTTACAGATGATGATATGAAATTTACAGGGCTTATACAGTTTACCGGCATTTAGAATTCAATACCCTAGTTCGCACGGAATAGCACTGAAATCACCCAAATTGAATTCCATCAAGCATGTACAGTACATGCTTGGAAGACATTTAATTTCGTTTTGCGAGTCTTGCTGCACCTCTTTGACTAAGGCATCTGTCTGTTCCATGAATAGGCACAGATATCCCAGACTGCCGGATCTTATTGATGCAAATCGATGTCGTTGGGGTTGTTCTCATTGACAACAAATAGGTGCAAACCCATTTAAAAATTCCCATAAGTATGAAAAACAATGCAATTTCTGTAAAATATAAATTTGGTACTTACAAATTATAACAACCACTTTAGTAGACAAATATTCAGAATTTGTCTAAACTCTGACAATCATGAGCTAAACTATTCTTCAGGTAACCACACTCATAACAATCCTTCAGACATACAGCATTGCCATTTTTGTATGTATTCTTTTTGTTGCATTAGTAGTTCCAACAGATTTTAAAGATAAATCATATTTTTGCCTTAAACTCGCAAGTAAACCTTTTCTACTTCTATACCAGTTTACCATAAGCTCATATATTTTCTGAAAGCTTATGTCACAAGTAGAAAAACGGTGAAATCTTACGGGCAGATGGATAAGCATTTAGGAGCTATAGAACTCACAAAATATCAGCAAAGTCTTGGAAACATGACACCAAAAGTCGCTAAAGTGCTCGTTTCACGTATTTATATGATATAATACTATGGTAAGAAGATGGAGATCTCGATATAAGAAAAGAAATAACTCATTGAAAAAAAAAAAAAAAATATACATTGGGATGTTGAAAATGTGACTAGTTATTGACTTCAAATAAAATTTATTATAAGAGACACTCAATGTGAAATTCATCAAATAAACAGTGAGGCAGGCAGAAAGACGATTTACAATGGGCACATTTTACAAAAGCGATAGCCTCACACTCTGCATACTCAACATTTGTCAATAAGTCAAAGCAGTAATTCCCTGGTGAAATTCACATTCCAGGTTCGCCGTCCAAGTATCCACCTTTATAAAAAGCATACTTAATCAAATTCTTGAAATGAGGAGCACTGAACTATAGATAGGATTGCAGGGCCAGAAAACAATCGCGAAGTCAAATGTGCTCTTGTATCTTAATAATGATAGTGTTCATTATGCAACGAACAAATAATATGTAGTGTCTGAAAAAAAGTGAATATCCAGAGGCTGTATTTTCCCATACATCCTTCAGGTATCAGTTCGTTTTGCAGGACTTTACCATCAGGTACTTTGGAAGCAGACTATACATGAAGATACAAGAAACAGAGAAGTCATTATGGGAATATGTCCATCTGTACACACTTTAATGATACTTTGTGGGTCCTATACCTCCTAAATGCTTGTCCCTCTGCCCCTAAGACTTCATAGTTTTTCTACTTGTGACATAAGCTTTCAGAAAATATATGGGTTTCCGACAAACCAGTATCAAAGGACAGAAGGTTTACTTGTCAGTAAAAATGTTTTACAATAATACAGTATACTTTCCTGCAAAATTGCTAAAGGGAATGAGGATGAGATGTATTTGATAGATAGCCGATGTTCAATTTTCTAATTTTTTTCAGCAAAAGCAGATTGCTATGTACTAAGGAAGAAGGATGCTGCAAAAAAATTTACAAATGGATTTAGTGAAAAAATGCAAGTTTTGTTTTTTAATCTATCATATAATCCTCATTTCATAATTAAAATTTGTATTTTAAATTGCTAAAGCATGTTTTCTTTTAAATGTTCTCCAGCTTACAATAAACAACGATAGTCTGGAAATCTTTTTAAAAAAAAGTTGTGAGGATCGCCAACTTGCACCCTAATAAGCAAGTTTGAGCTTTTCATATATAAAATATCACCAAGAAGGGTACTGTTCTATTATTGGGAACGGGTTCAGAAATGTATGTATGCAAGTATTTGTTCATGTATGCATGTATGTGTATACAACATATATACAAACACTTGTTCATAGATTTCTGAGTCCGATCCTGATAACAGAACAGTAACCCCAAGAAGGTTTTGTTAATATGTAACTACCATAAATTTTGATTGAATAATTTCTTGACAAATAAATTTCTTTATGAACCTCTTTATGAATGGTAATAATCTCCTTAAATTTTAAACCAGTATGACAAAAATAATCAAAATGGTGACAAGCTGTAATATTGATCTAAAATTTCAGCTATGTCTTACAAATGTATAAAACAAATTCATTTTTACCTCTTCCAAAAACTTTGTAACATTATAAACTCCATTTTCAATTAGTAGCCATAAAGAATCTTTATTGGAATGCTCAGCAATTTCTTCAAGAGAATAAGTTTTAATCCCTTCTTCAGACATGTTATTTTCTGTCATATAAAAATAAAAGTTAAATATATTAACTATAAAATGTTCATAAATTAATATAGTTATTATCTAATATTTAAAGTAAAAAATAACAACCTTAAAAATCAAACTATTTTCCAATAAAAATAAATTTTAAAGGCAGGAATATACATTAAAATCAATTACAAAAGGCTGACATTCACATAATAAAAGACAATTCCATCATTAAAGAAGTTGGTATATAAAATTAGAATGTGGATTACAAGCACACTCTTGGCTACATTACATTCAAAACATTACACATGAGAAAACTATAAAAATGCTCATGCAGCAAATGTGTAAATTAGACAATGAATTAAAACAATATCTAAGATAAACTTATAACCAAAATAATAAATTTATTATTATTACATTTAAAGAAAAGGTACTTACTACACTATGGGGAAAAAAAAAAATAATTGCTAAAATGTGAAATAACATGCCAAAGACAGCAAGAATGCAATGAGCTGAGGCATGTCAGTTTTATGAACGAGACAGAAAAATATTCATGTTATGGTTGTAACGTATTTTTAGAGCTGCAGAAAGCATAATTTCATAGATGACTTTCTTCATCTGCATTATTTGACTAAAAGGATGTTTTCTATATAAAAGAAATAGATTTAACAGTCTGAAGGTTAAAGATGAGAAGGAGGCAGGAGGCAGTGAATGTATCGAAAATTTATTAATACCGTTATAATAAAAAGAGAATCTCTCTTTTTTTTTTTTTTTTTTTTCATGGCACCAGTATACTGTAAAAGTACTCCATTCCCCACACACAAAAAAAAAAAAAAAAAAAAAAAAAAAAAAAATTCCATCAATATCATTAGATGAAAAGATTTTAATGTTATCAAAAATCTTTACTGTTTAATTAAAATTTCAGTAGGTATTAATTTGGGCTCTAGTGTAGAATTAGGTGCCCCTTCGATTGGCGACAATTTTTAAAAAATTTTGCCGATGAAGCCTCACTTCTGGTTACCACGACAGTTTTAACTTTGTTTTAGCTACCCGATTTTATTTAAATGAAAATAGATTGATGTGTACATGGACATATTTAAGGTAGTGCGCAATGCCTAGTTTGTGTAATTCTAGGATTTTTTTTAAGTAAAAACAGATCGATGTGTACATGGACACAGATCTTATGCAATTCTTTGACTTCTTATTTTGGTTTTGTATAGCGGCCATCTTGAAATTGTGCATTTCTGGTGCCGATCTTGGCGTCAAAAAAGAATCGTGAATAAACAAGGGGCACCCAATCGTAAACTTTTACCATTAATTTGGTTTACATGAACAAAATACAACAAAAATAATGTTATCAAAAGAGAGATTATGAAAATTTCCAAATGATAATGATAATTTTTTCATAGCAATATTTGATTTTTTTTCTTAATAAAGATAAAAACACACACTTTGTTTTATACCTATCAGCAAGAAAATATCCTTCTGCTTAGGTAGATAGCCTTGTCTAAGTATGAATTCACAATGAGGATATTTCCATTAAATGTATTATAACAGATGCACATTTAACAATTATATGTATAACAAAAAGAAAAGTATCACACAAAGATAAATGTAAAATCCTTTGCAAATCCTACAGCAAAATCTTTTGAAGGCAATAAAGTATAAAATATGATTAAATGAGATGACATTTTAAGTATTGGGATATTCTTTTGACACTTCTCAATATTTCATTGAAAACTAAGAGATTGCTATTTATTAACCTTATAATTTCAGCCATTCATTTTTGGTATGAAATTTTCAAGTAATACCATAATGAGATTGTCGACTTGACAGAAATAAAAAAATATTCTAATGGCATTACAGCCACAAAAGACTTTCTTATGCTGCGCTATGTGAATTAAAATAAGTTATTTTTAGATAGGGTTACCAAGTATCCAAATTGGCTCCTGCAATCCTAGATTCCTAACAATTTCCAATAATTTTAAACATATAGAGTAAAATACGAAAATATTAATTGATACTTATTAAAGCAAGGCAAGTTTTAACTGCCTGATCTGCAACATGAAAATACCTAATATCACCACTTGTGGTGATATTTACAAAGAAGTAACTAGCACAATGTAGGTATTTTCAGATAAAATTATGCAATTTCCACTATCTCAGTAGGTACTTTCACTAACACATCTTTATATCATCTTAAAAGATTTATTCCAAAATGTATGCAATGTTATTTTCAATACTTTATTGAATGAGCTGGTATTTTAAAGTCACTTATCAACTTTTGTTTGCAATGTAGGAAGCAAGGTTGCATAACAGGCATTTTTACCACTAAATTAACTTTTAATAAAGTGTTCTTGATAACCGTTCCTAAAAAATAGGTAATGCTACAGTTAGGCAAATTGAAAAATGATAAATTATTTAAAAATATCCGAAAAATATGTCATAAATTCAAATAAGTTTATCAACAATATTCTGTCATGAAAATTAATGAATGAGGCTTTCAAATCAACAATTTTATGTGTTATGACAACAAATTAAAGAATAAATTGAAAACTAGTCTAATTATAATTACTAGTTCTGCACTTGGATTACATTGAAATAAAAAGGTTATTCAAAGATACAGTAAAATATCCCTCGTTTTCTATAAATTCATTTACGTTTCCCATAAAATAATTAAAAAACTTTTAAGAAAAACAGAATGAAGAGTAAACGCTTTTTAGAAAAGGCGACGAAAATGCAGAAATTTATAGCAATTTCTTCGCGTACAAATTACGAATACTTCTGACAGCTGAAAAGCTCAGTTTAGTTTGTTTCATACCTAATTTTAAATTTATGTACCGTTTATAAGTAAGAACAATCGAAGGAAAAGTAATTTTTTTTTTTTTATTTATTTACTACGCTGATATTCAAACAAGTGCAAAGGCTAATTGCATGCCAATACGAGATTTCTGCTAGATTAGAGTTTAGATGTAGTCTAATATTAAGCCGCCGGTTTATAAAACGTTGCTAATTGAAACTACTTTCTTACAGTATTATTTAGTTAAATTTTAAAATAAATTTTATTTAAAAATTTGAAAAGTTTTCCAAACATCATCAAAAAACATTTTAAGAAATATTAGCAAAAGAATTATATTAGTGCTAGCAAAAAATAAAAGGCAACATTTCATATCCATGACCGTAACTAAGAAATCTCCATAGCAACCATAAAGCGTGAAGATTTTACGTTCTTTTACGTTCTTACGTTACGAGAGGGAGGAAAAATCATGCCGCTAATTATTAATTCAGATGACGTTAAATGGCATGAAACGAAAGAAAGAATTAGCATTGTAGTACCACTATTTTCTCGTGTTGATGTGAAGACTTCTATTCTGACAACAAGCAGGTATTTAAAAGTGAGTTCGCGAAACAATTTTTATTAATTTTATAGTGAATCTAAATTAAATTATAAACTGTTTACTTGCTGTTGCTTTAACGAAATATGATTGCAATACATTTATGAGACTTATTGCTTATGATTTATTTATTGCTTATTTCATTGCAATTTTTATATTATGTTTTAATTATATATAATTTTAATTTTATAAAAACTTTTGCATGATTTTTTTAGGAAACAAAGTTTTTAACTTCCTTTATACCATTTGAATTCTTAAGATTTTGCAACGGGAAGTTGGTTAATTTATTTATTAGGATAATTAGTATTTGTATTAAGGGATATTGTTTATTTCATTGTAATTTTGTTATGTGTAATACATTTTTTATAAATTTGAGGGTTTTTTTTAGATGAAGTTGTACTGAAGACTAAAATTTTGCCGCAGTGTTTAAATTAAACGTTTGGTGTTCCTTTTAGGCATTTTCTCGGTTTATTTAAAAGCCAGACGAAAGCTGACCGCGTAGTTGCTAGTAGATAATAAAACAAATTCAAAATTTAGGCTTCCAGATGTCCATATCCGGGTAGAAACGTAAGTTATTCAAAATTTGATGGTTCTAGGTACCATTGTTTTTTTACAATCTGAGAAACATACATGCATTTATGCAGATTTTTTATTATTTAATTTCTTTAAATATAATACAGGGCTCTAATATTTGGTGGCAGCAATTTGAAAGTGAAACGGACATTTAAAGTTTTTAAAATGTTAAAACGAAATTAATAGGGCTTCTGGGATAACATCCTTTGTGCTTAAGACTTCTCAGGAGGCAAGTTTATAAAACTTGGCACTTTGACATAATTTGAATTGTACAATCGAAACATGAGGGAAAAAAAAGCCAAAATGCCATTTAGAAAAAGTCCGCTTTTTGAGCTAAAATACTTATATTTGAGGAACGCTGTATATAAATCTAATATATATATAAAGTCGTGCTTTCAAAACATGAAAATCCAAATTAAATTTCATCAACTGGACCCAGCAGAACGGGAGATATAAAATTGTCCCCCACCTTTTTTTTTTTTTTTTTTTTTTTTTTTTTTTTTTTTTTTTTTTTGTGCAGATTGTACATTCATATATCATTTCCAAAAATTATGCGTTTTTACTTCCTTAAAAAAAAAGGAAGTAAAAAGGAAGTATTGCAATCGCGAAAAGTTTTTGGCAGCATATTTCAACGAAAATATCTATTTTGACCGCTATCGAATGGAATTTAACGATGGTTTTGCTTGGCATCCGTACGTAAAGACAGAATAAAAGACTCTTTTCCTCTAAAAAAATTATAAAGTTGCTTTAAAATGAATTCTGAAGAGAATATTTCGTGGTGTCTGTACGCACGTACGTATGTAGGTATGTATCTCGCATAACTCAAAAACGAATAGCCTCAGCACGTTGAAATTTTGCATATAGGACTGCTATAACATGTAGATGTGTATCTCATATTTTGGTTGCAATCGGCCGCACCAAACGTATATAAATATATTTATATATATATCCACTCTGTTACCCGGCTCAGTGATCTCAGTTTCTTTACTCTTATATCTTTGTAAATCGTGCATTTTTTGCGCTTTAAGAATGATTGAATTATGTTGTTCTTATTTTTCGGTTAATGTTTTTATGTCTTTAGGAAATCTGAAAGCAACATTTGTAGAATTATAAACAGTTTAAAAGCTGTTTAAGTGCGGTTAAGCCTAATCATTAAATAACATGGCTGACATGTTTGTTTACATTTGAAACAGCAGAATAGTAGATTTGTTGCGAATCTAGAGAGACTAAACTTTGCAGCAACAAAGATAACGCCTTCATTTATTATTGCGAATTAAATCATGCTTAATCCTTTCTGGAATTTTTTCGAGGAAATAAGTGAGGAATATTCGAGGAAATGCAAATCCAACAAATTTTTAAGTAATTCAAAATTGCAACAAAATTGTTCATCTCAGTATACAGAATTTTATAACAGGCCAAATAAATACCTACTTCCAATATAATACAATTTTCGGCAAAATATTACTTATAATTTTTCCTTGAGTACATAATATGCGATTATATGCTAACAATCTTCTTTAAATTATGTAATCTTATTTACAATATAGATCATGTTATACGCCGCCCAGACGGTATAGTGGTTAGGGAAACCTACTGAGGTACGGAAGGGTACGGGTTCGAATCCCGGCGAAAGCAAGGATGATTGTAAATGTATAGTGTCTGTGCGGCATGAGGGCACTCTAAATATATGGCGAGCGTAAAGTCGTCTTGTGTGGATTGGTGGTAGGAAAAAGGGGTAGGAGGCTCTCGGACCATTCCCCGAGGTGCTCTCCTTCAAAATTTGAGTCGAAATAAAAGTCCAAACTCCCTAAGGCGCTGGCAACGATTCTTCCATGAAATTCATGGACAAGACAACAACAACAATAACACAACTGTAACAAGCTACATAAAATTTATCTTGTGTTTTCACAATTAGAATGTGTCATAAATTTAAGATCACATAATTTTTGCTTTTCATTTGGAGTCTTTCTCTTTGCATCATTTGCTTTCTTAATTACTCTTTTAATCTTTCTTACTTTTTTTTTTTTTTTTTATCTTTCTCCTCATTTTGGTAGAAAAAGATAGCCCTGTTTTTCTTCTTCATTATTTTCCAGCACGAGCCGCTATTAAGTTAGAAATATAAAGACGTGAGATTCTGTTTTCAGGCTTTATCACATTATGTTAGATATATGATTTGAATTTTAGTGCATGAAAAATTTTAAGAGTTTAAAGCAAAGAAATGTTATTGTAACTGGAAATTCAACCTGTTTCTTCTAAAAACTATGCATAATGCCATGTCTCTGTAAGATTTAGCCCTCTTAAAATGCGGGTATTGCGGTGCTCTTAGGTCAGCCCTATTTACATTATCAAACTAATCTTACCTTTAAATAATGAAACAACGAGAGAAAGTTGCGGCTTATAGATTTTAAGGTTGGTTCTGCATAATGTTTTGTCATCATTCATATTGTTACGTACATACGGATTCGTAAGACTGAATGCACGCAGAACCGATGATAGCTTCATAGAATTTATTTTTCCAAATTTTCCACTTTACAGTTCTGGAACTTTCCACAAAATGTTCTCGTACAGCTTTTCTTAGGATAATAGATCACAATCAGTAGTTAGCGCTTCAGATTGCTAAGAACGTTAAATAAAACGCAGTAGCTCATCTAAAAAGCAAAGCTAGCATTGAGATCTCTCAGTATTCCGAAGTTGCTCTGAACTGAAAAACTTAGAACTGATGCTCTCAGCGTTCTTATATAGTTCCTCACAGGCTGCCGAGAAATCTCTAGTACCTTCCATTTCTCGAAATGTTTAAAGGTATATACGATTAAAGTTACACATAAGGGTCGGATACGGATACAGTTACATATAAAAATCAATTGCAGCACCAATTACGGTTAGAAGGGGCACGACCAAAATGTAGTCAAATCTATCTCAAGTTTGATGACTTTTGGCTATTTCTCGCAGAATTTGGCGACAAAAATTAGTCCTAGAACAATCGTCAGCTTAAGAATATCTCAAAAGTTTAGTGAGAAAACCATTTACCTCAATGCTAAATAGACTTGCCTGTGTAATATAAGTTTTCCAATACAGCTTCGTTTTTTCAAGCATTTAACGTTACATTATAAAAAAGACACTTCAATTTCACATATGTAGTTTCATTAAAATTATTTACATACATACAAAATGCATAAGGTAGCCTCTCTTTCCCAAGGACTGCACGCCACAGGGAGTAGACCGATACTCTAATTGCTCATATTCGTGTCAAGAATAAACGGCTTATTGAGATGAGGATACGACAAGATTGTCGCAGATGCTAAAGCTCCCATCAGTTTGTTAAATGCATCCTCACATTCTTTTGCCCAGAATAACATTTGTTTGCTGTCTGTCATTTTGTGTATGGTTTTTCGATGGAAAGAAATTTCTTTCACAAACCTTTTATAGTAGGTGAAAAGCCACAGGAAACTTCTCTGTTGATAGACATTTTTGGGGCGTCTTTAATATTTAGCTGGCAACAGTTTTTCTGGATCCTTACTCCCACCTCCGGTAGAGATGACATTTCCGAGGTAAGTCACTTCCTGTCTGAGCAGTTTATATTTGACAGAACGTAACTTTAGATTGGCTTCCTTCAATTTCTGAAGCACCTTCCTAATATTTTCCAAATTTTCTTCAAAACTTTTTCTGACGATAATGATGTTATCCAGTTACATCAGAGAAGCTTCATAGGAAAGACCTCTTAGCGCAGTCTTCGTAAGGTGCTCGAATTTTGTCAGAGCATTGCATACTCCAAACGTCATAACCTTGAACTTTCAAAGTCTCACTTGCCGTCTTTTCTTCGTCATCAGGTTGTATCTTCTACCTGCTAATATCCACTATTTAAATCAAGCATCGAAAACCATTTGCTGCTAGAAAAAGTGTCCAGAATGTCACTCTTATTTCAGACCAGGACAATAGGAAAGGCCAAAGCACTTGCTGAAACCTCAATAACATCGCTTTCTCGCATGTCCTTTAAAAGCTTTCCTATTTCCTCTTGTTTAACAATTCGTAGACTTCTTGGATATTGTTTGATTGGCGGATAATCTCTCGTATCAATTCTATCCTGAGCCAAACTTGTTGGACCTACGTCAGAAGATGAGCGGGAGAAAATATCTTGAAATTCTTGAATGACATGTGCTGGAGTACTCTTCTCTTCATCGCTTTGATGTGCATTCTGCATCCGATCTTAGGCTCTCTGGAGACACTAAAGGGATACTGGTTCTTTTAACGCAGGACAGTGGAGTACAAGCTGCAACCACTTCACCTTTCCTAATAATTTTGTCAGTTTACTATGGCAATTTTCACCGGGATGACGGCCCTCGATAGGTTGACGCGTGTCGAGTCTACTAGTACTTCTTTCGGGTTGTTACAGTTCCTCGGATATACCATTAAACCGCATCGGAAATTTTTGTATTCAACTATAGACCCCGGAAGTAAAAATTCTGCTTTTTCTGGTACTATGATAGCTATTTGGGCTATTATTTGGTGGACGGATTTAACTTCTTTATCTTTAAGACTGAACGGGGTTAAACTCTCGGAGGCAGAACTGCAGTTCGTTGTTTTCAAAGTCCCAAAAATGTCGCGGAAAAATTATACTACCTTAGAAAGTGTAATCCGAATATGAGGGGGTCAGTAATATTTGCTTCGTATGCCATGTTATGGTAGGTGGAATTTATAAACTTGATGTTAACGTTTAATTTTTCATCAATGTCGATTTTATCTCCGCACATAGTCTGGAGGGTAACGCAGGGCGGCGTCAAGACGAGTTTACCTTCCAACATTTTGAGCCAGATCTTTCCAGATGACAATGACACTGGCTCCTGTATTTTAATGGTCATATTTCAAGGACCTCCGTTATATGGCCTATGATGAAGAGTATATTACTGTCACGACTTATTGCAAAAATCTGAAGCGCTTTAAATGATGCTTTTCAGTGTATGGTAATCTTCGCCCCTCGAAATGGCCACTAATTAGTTTCCCCTCCTTCTTGCTGGAGATTGGTCTTATTTCCGTTGGTTGGGATGTTCTGGAGTTCCTTCGCACGTGGCATTCACCACCGCGGTTTCAGCACTTTAAGACTGGTTTGTTGCCACTCCTGTTCAGCGTCAAAGCATTGACTTTCTTGGTTAAATCGTCTAGACGAGTAGTCAGCAAATCATTGGCCAGCAGCTCTAGCTGAGTGGGATCTTTACGACTTGCTTGATGGGCTGCCTCAAATTTCATGATGTACAATAGAGTGCTTTTTAAATCCTTGACATACGCAATTCGCAGGATAGTATTTCCCTTGTTCCTGTTGGGCAGTCCGAAAACGTAAGATAAAACACACTTTCAGCATCCATACCGAGCTTCTGGAGTATTTTCGTGCGCTTCTGCTGACGAGATTTTAATTGAAGTCTGCTACAGACTTTAAAACTTCTCTAAGGTACAGCTCCAACGCACAAGATAGAGCTTCGAAGTCTAGCCTCTAGTTGTCGGGCAAAGACTAAACGATCTATCACAGAAGCGGCGATATGGCGGGCCTTAGTTTCGGAATTCCATCCATTTGCACTTGTCTCTATATAGAACTTAGTCTTATACACCTGCCAGGAGATCTTTCTATTATAATTAGGTAACATATGAGGGGGTTGTGAAGACATGGGTAAAACTTTAAAACCGTCAGAACTGTTTTGTACTGTAGTTGTGGATTTCTTTAAGCTGTCAACTTTTTTGGCGGCAGCAGAAACATTGCAGTCAATTTGTTGTTCGGCAACAGAATCTTTCTGTTCGATTTTTTTTTATTTGACAGAAGGCACTTTTTCTTCAGTTTGTACACGTATTTTCAACTGCGTCTATTCTGCTTTCATAGTTTCGAATTTGTTTTTTATTGAGGTAACTTCTATTTTTATTTATCCTTGACCTGCTTCAGTCTTTTCTTGAAATGATTTGACATCCACTTCCATTTTCTTGAACAGCTTCCATATCTTTCTTAACGTATTCCTGATACGTTTTCGTATTTTCCTTAACAGAATTGTCAGCTCCTTCCATTTTTTCTTGGCCTGCTTTTATCCTTTCTTGGGCCACCTGCATCAATCTTGAACTGCTTTTATCTCTTTTTTGACGGAGTTAAAGCTTTCATCTTTTCTTGGCGTGCAATCACCAGTTGTCAAAATTACTTCTTCATGGCTCTTGCTAACGACATTCAATTACGTTTCTGTAACCAAAAATTGTTGTCTGCATACGGGTTCGCAATAGACTGAGTGCATTCAGAAGAGATGATAGCTTGATAGAATTTATTTTTCCACAAGAAAAATTTAACAGTTCTGGAAATTTCCAGAAAAATATCCGCACAGCTCTTCTTAGTATCACAGAGCATAATCAGTTGTTGCTCATTAAACTACTAATAATGTTAAACACACGGCAATGCAAAGCGAATCTAAAGAGCGAATCTCACAGGGAGATATTTCAATACTCCGTAGTTGACTCTGAACTGAGAAAGTGAGCGCTGATGCTCTGTCTGGTCTTATAAAGTTTTACGCCGGCTGCCGAGAAATCTAGTACCTTCCATTTCGCGAAATTACTGGAAGTTTTATACGGTTATAGTTACACATAGGGATCAATTACTGTTAATCAGTTATAATACCAGTTATTACTGTAAAGGACTGGACCAAAATGTCACCAATTGGTCTCCATGTTTGGCGATTTTTTCATAAATTTGGGAACAAAATTTAGGCGCCAAAAGCCATCTCTAACTCAGCGATATCTCTCCATTTAGGGAGATAACTGTTTACTTCAATTTTAAATACACTTGCCCCTACATCCTTATTTTTCCGTTGAAGCTATTTTTAAAGCATTTCATGTTGTATTATACAAAAGATACTACAATTTCATATGATTTCACTAATTTACATATATGCAAAATTCGTAGCAGTATTATAAACGGAGTTTTATTATGTGAGAAAAGTGCAGATAGTTTAAAGAAATTTGCTATCTTTGAAATGACACATTTGTGATATGATGTTCTTAGAAATTAAACATTTATTTGAGATATAGATTTATTTGAAAAAATTCTTCGTTAGGAACAGATACAAAAAAATTTATACAAATTATTTTTTTATTATCAATTGAATAAAATTGATTTTTAAAATGATTTACTTTCCTAAAATAATACATATTGTTATTTAATGTGAATATTCTACCGTAATTATGGTTGCTCTTGTATTTCCTAAAGTGGAAATGGCAGAAATTAAAAAACTTTGTGCTAATGTCGATAATTGTGAAAAACATTCTCAGAAAGAGTCTCTTTCTCTTCATTTATCCAATTCAAAGCAATGTTTCACTAACGTTTATTACATTTATTAGTCTTGGTGTTCCTCCATGCAAATTTCTTATTGTCTCAATGAAATAATATTCTTTTAGTGCATCTTTCGAGCATAAGAAAAGCGTAAATAGCCCATTGCAGTCTTTATTTTGAAAATTCAGTCTTTTGATAGCCTGTTTAATAACGCAATATCAGTTAATACAATAAAATCATAACTAAATCTTTATTGCATTCTTAATTTATGAGGGAACCACCAACGATGCTTATAACCAATGATACGATTCAGCTGTTTCGCACTACTTCGAAAGAACCACTACCTAAAACATTTTTAGCTCAGAAAACCGGCTGTCAAAATGAATTTATAATAAGCATGTAAGTAATTTATCTCTATTTAATAAGTACAATTAATTATTGTTTATTTAGGCTTAGAATCATAGTTAATTATTTCACTTTCACTACTGTTTACAATCTTATTATAAAGGATTCCAGTCGTTCTTTTTTTCCCAGGAATCAGTAATGAGCAATGAAACTAGATACATATTTTTTCGTGGTATTAAAATTAATCTTCTGATGAAGCAATATGAATGTGAACAGAGGAAGTAATTGAAATTATGTTGTAGATGGGAAAGTAAATAAGCAGTGTGATGGGATGAATTGATCACAATTATTGAGTTTTGTTTGAACAATAATATTTGCAATATTTGCAATATTATTGTTCATAAAATTTCTTTTCGTAATGCAAAATATATTGATTCTATAATTGAAGATGATAAGTATAAAACTAAAATTTACAGGTAAGCTCACCACCTTCGCTTTGGGAATGTTTTTTGGCTGCTGCTGTTGACCCAGCTACAAGCATTGCTAGAATTGGACACAATAATGTTTCTTTTGATCTGCGAAAACAATCTCCAGAGCTCTGGAATGACTTAACAGATAAAAGAGCAGGTAAGTACATTGCTGACTGAATGGTGATATTAACAATAGATACATTTTCAGAAGCTGAAAAATAAAATCATGGAAAGAGTTATATTTCGATTGCATTCGAAATCAAATTTTTTTGCGAATGCTTATTCTACCACTGAATCAACAAAGTCGAAATCAGCTTCGCATAACTTCAACTTGATAATTAATGCTCTAATATAAAAATTATCTTTCTAATTAATGCAAGTTAACTGTGACGATTAAGTTACGAATAATTTGTAGGTATTACAACCTATTTACTATTATGTAAACAATTTATTTAAAACAGAATCAAGAAATAATGTTTTTGTGATGCAAAGACAACGTGCTTTAACACACGAAAATATTAGAACTAAGCACTGAAAAGAGCTGCTTAGGTTGATCGCTTCTATAGCGAGCCAGCAGCACCGTTATCATTACCTGCCGAATCTTGCAAGGGAAACATAATCAAAATGGCTCAAAAATGCATTATCTTATTATTCTTCACCTTAATAGCAATCTGTGCATATTTGTTGTTTCGATCTTTTACTGTAGTTCGGAATTTCACATGTAATGTAGATATAGACACCAAGCGCTACACAATTTTCTTCAGAAAATTATACCTGTCAGTACTACCTGTTGGGCAGTAAATTTATTCTTATTTCTTTAAAGAATATTCTTATTCCAAAAGTAAGTATGGTCAATAAAATGTTTTTAATGCATGATAATTTATTCTTTGTTGTTGTTGTATTGAGTCATCATTTTGGTCTTCAGTCATTGGTATTGATCAGGGTTTTTGGATCAGGGAATTTTGGTATTGATCAGGGGTTGATCAGGTTACGAGGTTTGTGCTTTGCATCCTGCTTACTACATAGTGTCATAGCAAATTACAACATTTCATTAAATACGACAGTATATTGATACTAGTAACCAGGCACAGAAATGAAAACAACTACAATCTGAGGATCATATAGGTATATATTGAACTGATACACAAGAATAGTATATCATTATAATTAATGAAAAATAGAAAAAAAATCAATGGAACGGGTGACCTTGCTGATCTCCACAAAGTTTTTTTAAAGCGAGGGATAAGACTTGACATTGTCACTCTTATTTTTACAGCTACAGCTGAAAAGCTGGTTTTGCATAAGCATGATGTTGCGAAAGGAATAAGAGTCATTAAAGCTTTTGAACTTAGAATTGGATATTCATTTTTGATGATTATCCCAAACTCCACCAAATCGGAACTCGCGAATTTTGTTTTAAGGCAGTTGTCGCAAGAGAGTTCAAGGAGATTCTTTTCTTCTTGTGAAGTGAATTCTGGTGGAGCTTGAGCATGGAAAGGATTTTGAATCCACAAACATTTCTCGATATTTTCTTCTGCAAAGTATTTTGCAAACCATTCACTGAGCTTAGAAAAGTGGTCTTTTAAAAGAGAAAGCAATTTTTGAGAGATAACGAGCTCATTAGAAGACACGTATTTATGTTATTCAAGGAAACAACTTTGACTGCCATCCTCATTAATTTTTCTTATCCACAACTGCAGTTTTCTTCTAAATACCGCAACCTTCTCCAATAGTTTCAAGATGTATTACCGCCTTGGACAGATTCCAGGTATCTAGTTTGTCAAATATATCGCACAAATATGCCAGTTTTAATGAAAAGTCTAGTTTGTCTGGAGTTCTAGTATCTGGAGTTTACATGTTCTTCCTCTTGCAGAAAAGTGGGAATTTTTTTATGTAGCTCGAATGCGGTTACCAGAGTATGGCACAGTCTGAAAATTTGGGGTCTTTTACTTACCGTGAGAAAGGGAAAACGTATAAAGAGCATATATATCGAATACAGAAGCGAAAAACCACATTTCAAATAATTTTACCTGATGTATATAAATGTCAACAAACACGGTGATTAAGGTGATTGTCATATTATTGAAGTCACCATGTACTATTTCATGTAATTTAAGCAAAGTGATATAATTAATATGGAAATGAAATAATGTAACATTACTTCTTATTTTCTATGATGAAGACTGTGAGGAGTATCGTAGGAAAGAAAGAGAAAATGCTTATGAAGAGAATCAAGCGGAACTGCATCAAACTGCAGAAATGAAGTCCAAAAAGCAAAATGAGCTACACCAGGCCAGCGTACGCAAACAGATGCATGTAAGATGCCTTAAATATTTTCGACGATTCAGAACTGTTTTTCAGCTTCAATCTGTAAACAGTTAGGTAAAATAATAAACTTTGGAAGACGGGGGTGGGTGGGGGGGGGTAGAGGATTTTTTTCTTATTACAGGCAACAGATGCCAAGCATTTTACTCTACAAAGACATATGTGCCAATCTGAATTTCCAGCAAGAAAACGTATTTTCTTAATCCGCTCAACTCAATTATGTAAATTTCGTAAAAATGAAAACAAGTTCAATGGAACCTCGAGATGCGAGTGTAATTCGTTCCAGCATTGAGCTCGTATAGCGATTTTCTCGTATCTAGAAACAAATTTCCCCATTGAAAATAATGGAAATCCAGTTAATTCGTTCGCACCTACAAAAATATCAACATAAAAATCAGTTTTTCTAATAAATAACACTGATAAATAATATAACCGTCGTTTACCTTTATAATGGCTTCCGATAAATGGTGGCTTCCGACCCCAAATCTCCTTTTAACTGCTTCTCGTTAATCCACACCAACAACAGCTTCTCAACCTTTTCTAGGAGTTTCGGATGGTTCTTGGAAGTAACGGTAACTCCTTTGGCCACATCAAGTTTCTTAATTTCTTCTTTCTTTTTCAGAATAGTGCAGATCGTCGATATCGAACGGCCGTAAGTCTTCGCCCATTCCGTCACTCTTACTGCACTCTTACTGTTTATCTATAATTTCTTTCTAGTTTCAATGGCCATGGCTTCCTTCTTTTTCTTTGCAGCACTATCTGAGACAGCAATCTTTTTGGGAGGCATCCTGAAATAATTATTTTCACGTTAAAATGTAAAAATCAATTAACTCACAATCGCACAAACACGTAGATCAAAGAACACTGAGTGACCTGATAAGGAAATTCCCCGAGTCAAGCCGGATCGGAAAATAGCACCACGCATACCAACAGCGTGGTTCATTGCTGGTTACTCGAGTCAATGCTCGTAGTTAGAGACGAAATTTTCCCTCATACTTTCCTCGTATCTCGAATTTCTCGTATATAGAGGTGCTCGTATCTCGAGGTTCCATTGTACACGATTGTTTAACAGAAAACGAACACATTAAATTTAACGGCGAATAATAGGCAGCCTTGGCGCATGCACTTAGAGAAAATTATGTGGCCCGTAAAAGAAAATATCGAAAAATGATTTTTTATGTATTCATCTTCTGAAGGTAATTTGATTTTATTCATTAGTATTCTTCATTAAATATGGAATGCGATAGATAAAGATAAGACGAAATAAAGGTTGATTAAAAATTTTCTGCTATTGATCCTTTGAAAACGGAAATTCTGTGTAGGTCTTACTGGGTAGGATGCCCAAAATGAGGAAAAAAATTGTTTGTGCAAGAAACTTTATTCATAATTCGCCATTTTTATGAAAAGAGGATGACAGTAATAAATTAAAAACCTCATTTTTTAACTTAATATTACTTATATTTTGGGAACTAGTTTCACATTTATAAAGATCACTTACCAACAAAGCTCCTCTTTTCATTCTAAGCACTGAGTTGCCATTAATACTCTAGTTTTCTGTTCTTTAATATTACAGGAAAAAATTGTGTGCATCTTTTCTGCCATTATTTTTCCTCCTTTCTTTTTATCATCGGAATTTGATCATTACATTTTGCCAAAAGAATAGCATTTATCCGCCCTTAATCCCGTTGAATGAATTAGCTGAATAATCACAAAACACTTGATTTTTTATCACTCTTACAATTATAGAACGAATCAAAGTTTTTTCATTGCACAATTTATAGTATCTAATTCTCTATGGCCACATAAACTAATCTAGATCCTAGTAAGGAACCTGGCGACTTCTCGCACAGGCGTGAAGTAATATCAGTACAAAAGAAGGGAGAAAATATCCATTTATTATTTTCAACTATGAACAGAAAAGGCACATACTTAGTGCTTTGCAAAAACACCGACAACTTGCGGTGGAAACTAAGAATTGCAACACAATAAATCAAAATCTAAAAAAAAAAAAAAAAAAAAAAAAAAAAAAAAAAAGTTATACAATGAAACATCACTACTAGCTTCTTTCATTAAATGTAGCTGCAGATCGAGAGAGAGGGCCTGAGCCCTACCTGTTTGCTGTTCGTCCTCTTTTACAGTCTACTTTCTTTTTTTTTACAAGGAACGGAACATGACCCTCCTCGGCGTATCTTCTTAATGCGGCGCATAGTCTGAGGGTTTACTTTACCATCATGTAACGCAGATATTCAAGGAGAATATGAAGGGCCGTATGGCACAGAGGCTCTTTATCTGACAGACTTGCTATCAAAAAGTTTGACTAAACGTGTAACACTAAAAATTCAAAAATTATAAAAATTGAAAAAAAAAAAAAAAAAAAAAAAAAAAAAAAAAAGAGATGTTTCAGATTTTAAATTACGTCTAAAGGAGCGTTTTTTTAACATTTTGTGTGTTACCTTTATTTATTAAATATCATGCACTTAAGCGATAAAATTCAGTTCAAGACCAACATCGCAAAATAATTTTAAAATGAGCATATCTTTAGAATTTCCGATACACAGTCTCGCGCGCTGAGATAAAAATTATTTTTATGTACAACATTGCCATTGCTCGCTTTGAAATCCTTGAGTTTATTAATGAAAATTTAGCTAAAGGTTTACAAAACATGAAATCGATAATAAAACAAATTCCAAATTTAAAATTTGGGCTTCCAGACGCCTACATTCGCAGGAGGATTACGTTATTCAAAATTTGATGGCTCTAGGTACCGTTGTTTTATCACAATGCGAGAAGCATACATACATTTATGCAGATTCTTCAGTATTTAATTTCTTTAAATATAATACATGGCGATAATACTTGGTGGCAACAATTTGAAAAGTGAAACAACGCAAAATGCCAAAACGAAATTAATAGTCCTTCTGGGCAAATTACCCCTTTGGACTAATAATGTATTTTGTGTGTTAATTGGAATGTACTCAGGCAACTAATAGTTAAAGCATAAGGAATAAGCCATGTCTATTTCGCGCTATACTAGATGAATTAAAGTTTTTATGTTCAGGGAAGAGATAAATAAGTGAAAAAGAGATCTTCGGCTTATTTCTCACGCTTGTCATCTCCTACTTGAAGTGATTTGTCAATAAACTAAACTTGAAATCCAGATTCAAAGCTTAGAGTGAAAGGTGATCTATCTATGCTTATAGGTAGATCATCCTTAGGTGTATCTTCTGATAAAAATTTATTTTGTTAAAAACAATTACTGAAGTTATAAGGAATTAGGATGATTGCTTCCATGTTTGTCTGTGGTATAATTGCTAGCATGCCCGACTAATAATTTGACAATCGCTTGTTCGAATTTCGTCGAAGGCGAAATTGAATTTTTAAGAATCCTTTTTGAAAAAAGAAAGTAAAACATTTCTTGAAAATTTACTGAACTGGACTTCCTTCAAATTGAGTATCCTTAAAATGTATCCTTAAAATTGAAATTTTTTTAAAAAAACCACAAACGTATTTTAAATTGTTTAAAATTTTTAAATTTATGTTCGCTAAATTTAGAATCATCTGGATTTAATTGTAATTTTCAATCCTTTGTATTCATTAACTGTTTTCACAATACAAACTAGGCGCACTCGTAAAGAAGCTCCGTGATACTGTACAAGATGAAATAAATTTATTAAGCTGCTTTCCTCTTAATCTTATATTGTGACAAAGGTATATTTGTATGGTAGACAGTTACATGTAATTCATTGAGGATTTGAAATCATTGCCTGTTTTATTGTATTTCATTACAGAGCATCAAGGTATCAATTAAGCTGTTCTTAAAAATCTCCATTTCAATTTAAAAGGAAAAATTAAATTAGTTTTCTGAATTATTTGATTTCGATTTACACACATAGGCAGAGAACACTGATTCAGAAATATATGTTTAAATTAAAATTACTCGAAACTCGCATTTTTTAAAAACCAGTAACTTGTAAAACTAGCAACTTTGAAACTTTATGAGATTAGCTTATTTCTACAGCTTCAGAAGCAAGAATCGTTTTCAGTAATTTTTGATAACTATTATTTCTGTTTATGAAGAACTTTTCCTCTGACGTGACTTATTTTCAATCCTGTTTTTTTAGTTAGAAGATCAAGAAAGAAGGCTCATAGAAAAGGAGAAAAGAATGGAAAATGAGAGAGTTACTGCCGCAATCGAGCAAATGAAAAAAGAACAAGCGAGAGTTAATAGAATAATTATGGAAAAGTATACCTTGTCTGAAACATTTATAAATTGTACTATAATTATTTTGCATCTCTTTTATATTAAGTATACGCATATGAATGGATAGCTTGATTCACATTAAATATCTGTATTATATAGCGTATTAAAACCGTCCATCACCATCATTCAGAAAATATCCAACTTAACGTTACGTATTTACAAAAGCAGTTGTAAAATAACCTCTCTGATCTTTTTCCAAAGCTGTCTGTTTATTTGTTTAACTGAATGTGGCAAAGCACACAAGGATTTCCACATAATAAAAACTCATCTAGTCAATAAACACTAGTGGCCTTCAGTTCTACGAAATTAATATAATAGCTCCAAATAATTCTGGATTTCTGCCATGCTTTAATGCGAGGTTCGTTCACGTAGGTGTCACTGTCTATCAAGTTAGTTTACAAATTTATTGAAAATTTGTAATTAACAGTTAGTGTTCAAAGTGTCATGGTGAAAAAATTCACCATTTATAACACGTTTGAACAATGCATGCCATACACCCATGATGATCGACATAAAGAGCACTAGTCCAGCACACACAGGGCTGCGTCATCTTTCCCTCTGCCGTTTTTCGACTGGTCGTTCTTGCAGTTGACCGCCCAGAGGGTGTTCGCGCATTCCTATTAAATGTTTATTTTCTCAACAGAATAACAAGTTAGTAATGCCTGATCACTGCTGTAAATCCAATTAAATTTGGAAAAAGGTCTCCGTCAATGTTTGTAAATTTCCAAAGTATTCTATTAAAAGACAAAAATGTAGTAAAGATGAAAAATTCCTCGAGAATATTTTATTCTGCGTGAAAGCATTGTTATCTTAAAAAAAAAAAAAAAAAAAAAAAAAAAAAAACCATTAACGGAGAAAATAAACTATTAATTATAATAGAAAGTGAAATATTGATTATGCTAAAACTCAATTTCAGAACTTTCAGATTTTTTTGTTGAAGAGGTAGCTTCTCATTGATTGGTTTTATTTGGTTACGGGAAAAGTTAATTAAAATGTTTTAGAACATTTAGAGATGTGAAAATAAAAGACCAGCTTTCTGTCAACTTATTTTAATGAAATAAGCGGAAAAACATTAAAAATATCTAATTCCAAATACACTTTCCAATGACAACTCTGGACGGAAAGGGTCTCCATGTTTTTCAGTACCATGACCTTCACCTTACGAAGGTCAGGATATTATTATTTTAGTTATTATTTATTCTTGTTAGTGTTTTACACTTCTAACTAATTAATCAAGGTAAAACAAAACCGCTTACCTTGTCCCAATGGGTTCTGCCAGGGCCACTGGTAGAAACTGATCTCTTCTGTGCATCTCTATCTGCAAAATCTTGAAAGGAATAATCCATAAATGATAAATGCATTCTTTACACAAACATATTTAATGAAGACGCAAACGGGTTACAGAATATTTGCATAATGAAAAGGGTTTTAATTTTGGCACGACGCAGCGTGCGACTTCTCCGTTCCGAGTTCTCGTGCGATCTCTAAGCAAGAGTTCATATTTCGAGATGACGTCACTCAGCCATCAGATCTCAGCATGAGTTGCAACATCCTCCGGCGCAGAAGGACAATTGCTGTAATTGTAATTTACATTCCAGATCCACTGGATATAATAGTTGCACTGGTCTTTTAACCTTATTGCCATTGGGCAAGCGGACAGCACGGGCTCTCACCTTGCCATTTCTTCCAGGAAATACTTCCACTATAATGCCCATCTTCCACATCAGCCTTGGAATTTTATCTTCATGAACTAATAAAATAATTTATTTCTTCAAACAGGTTCCCGTTTTAGCCAGTGTGGAATGATGAGCAGATTTTAAATTCATCAAATAATCCTGTCTCCATTTTCTCCAGATTCTTTCTACCAGTATCTGTTGATGTGTAAATCGACGTGTAAGACTCTCCTTTGTTGAAGTTAATTAGAGCTTCCTTTCGGCAATGAGTACCCGTCTTCCTATAAGAAGTGACCAGGGGTCAAAGATTTGGCTCTCCTAGATCGAGAATGTAAATGTTTAAATGTCTGGAGTTCATAGCTTCCCTTCTATTATGACTGTCTCTAATTCCAAAATGTCAAGGATGATTGCCTAGGATTCTCTCAGAAGGGCTTTCAGAGATTGAACAGCTACGCTTCCCCCACCATGCCGCCCCTCAATGCCGCCCCATTGGATTTGCTCCGATAACGCGTCTTGACTCTTGTTTTTTATCACCACCTCGTCAAAAGCTCTAATCTTTTTTCGCTCTTTAAAGGTTTTGGCGTTATTGGTAACACTATTCGGTACAACCTCTTCGCTATAACCGTCTAAATGCAAGCAAAAATTTTTTCGTGGAAAGGTCGGCTGTAAGTTATAAATGCACAGCTCTAGTTACAGCACAGGTTAACAGTAAAAATATGTCTTAGATAACTCTCTCCCATTTTTGACGTACAGTGGATCCGCGTAATCTATTCCGGAGTTCACAAACAGAAAGGCTTCTCGGTATTTGTCTCGAGGGAGAGGTGCCATATCTTGCATGACAGGTTTCGTTCGAAATATTTTGCAGACATTTAAAATTAAAGTACAGAATACTTTTAATTTTCCTACGAGCCTTAAGCAACCAAAATTTATCTCTTATCTGATTAAGTTTCTGTTATTTCCGTGCCCGTTGCTATACTTAGATGACTGTGAAGTCAAATCACAAATTGGAGCAACACGATTGTGTTTGGAATCCAAATTTGATTTTTCTAATCGTCCACCAACAACACGATTACACAACTTTGTCTAGAGTGTTGAAGGGTGTAATTTGGGCTTTAAATAAATCTCGGAGTTCGGTAACGCATGGATTACGAAAACTTCCTTCGATGTTTTTCTTAATTCCTTGTTGGAATCTTCATGTTCTTTGTGGAACATAACGGTTTTGGTTTTATCTATTTCTTCTATTTAACCACGTGGGCCATTCCACCATATGCTATATATGCTATTGGACTTCAGATGTTTGACATTTCACCTCTAGTTAGCATCAGCTGGATTATTTTCACCAAGCGTATTCTCCAGTCAGACATCTGAATTCTTCTGTATTTCCTTCACTCTGTTCTGAACGAATGGTTCCATCTTTTTACATCCTTCGAATCCAGGTAACGTTGTCTAGAACAGTCCACATTATACAGTTAAATCACGTCCTTGAGTTCTTTTAAATGTATTTTGACAAATGAGAGCCTATCAAAAGCACCCTAATTCCATCTCTGGAGTGATAATTTTTTCAAAAGTGCTACTCGTGATTTGATGTAATGAAGCTTGTATGAATGACTCATTTCTCGATAACGAAAATACAGACAGTCCCAAGGCTTCTGACCGCATCTGTGAAACAGGAACTGTAAACTATCCTTTAATTGTTGCGTTCGTACGGGTTCGTTATGAAATGAATGCACAAGTCATGAAAACTGAACAAAAATTTTATTATCACAACAAAAATGCTTAAATTTTCTCAATTTGTAGTATTTACAAATCTCATATTTATTTTAAACTACTCATAGATGTCCAAAGACCGTAATTCAATATCAGCTATTCGCTAATCGCGAATCAGCTACAACAACAAGAAGTTTTCTAAACCACTCCTCCAAACTGAGATGTTTTTCCTCCTTTTATAAGATTTTAAAACACGCGCTAGAATTTCATACTCTCGAAATCAAAAGAGATATTTATTTATTTAACGCCGCGCTCTTGTATTTTTAAATTTTCCGGCTTAGCTTCTTTTATATAGTCACGCGCTGCACTGCGCGAGAAATAAACCATTTAATTTATAATTGAACTAATTACTTTTTAAACCAAATTCGTAACACTGCCCCCTTTCCAAGACTGCACGTCGGGCAGTACATCCGGACAGGAAGCTAAACTTACAACTGTGGCATAATCATATAAGCATTACATTACAATAATAAACAACATGACAATAAATGCAATACATCAAATGCTATCAATACTCAAATACCATTTAAAAAAATGGACATGGTCTTATACTATTTACAATTATTTACATTATGTACTATGGCCATAGTAAAGGGCTCCTGTCGTAATGAACGACTTAGGTTTAGAGTTCGAAGACTTACGGATCATGACGTCATTCAGTCTCCTTCAGGACTGTTATGGACATCCGAAGGTGACTGTAATTCAGGCCTGACACCTTTTCCCGAATCGGGTTCCACAACCAACCTTGTCTTTTTTGTTGAATCTATGTCCAGTACTCTCGCGTTGTATCTGGTCTTCACTTTCTCCGTCCGCGAAGTTCACTCGCTTCGTGGGAACGGTGGCATCACTTCAAAACGGCCTTGACATCTTGGAGTGTTCCTCAGGCGATAAGGCGCATCCGTACGGCGATTGAACAGGCGGCACAAGGCAGACGAAGGCTCGACCGAGAGCATCTGAGCGAAATAGCTGGTCTGGTGTTCTTTTCGACCCAGCTGATTTCGGCTGTTTCTCGAGCTGGTTCTTTCGACAAGCGTCGCAATTTCCAGGTGAGGATCCTTCTTAGGATGGAAGTCATGTCTTCAGATCCGAAAGCAGTTTGTTGTTTTAAGGCTAAGGAAAATTGTATTTCCTTAAAAAGTCCAATCCGAGATGCATGGATCTGTAATATCGCACATATGCCGTGTGATGGTAGGCGGCACTTCAAACGTGGTTTACGTTTAACTTCCCAGTTATGTCGATCTTTTCACCAGACGCAGTCTGAAGGGTAACACAGATGCGTCAATAAGTTATCTTTAAACTGTTCAGCTAAAGCTTTCCTAATGATGGTAACATAGCTCCGTGTCAATGATCATATTTCAAGGAATCCATCGATATTCCATTAAGGACAGTCCGTACTGTTGCCACTCACTGTATAAATTTAAGCGCTTTAAACAAGGTTTTCATTATCTGGAAACCCTTTCCTCGATATGGTCACTATTTGTTTCGCGTCGTTGCTGAAATGGTCTTATTTTTCCGTACCTCGGGGTGTTTTCAGTTTCTTCG